GACAGCAGGAACCGCAAAGACGGCCTCCCTAAGAATTCGCTGGGACAAGCGGACCTTCCAGGGAAAAAGCCTTCGCTCAGTGAGTTCGCCGCGTCGTCGTTTGAGGTCGAAACGTTTCACACTCCCGTTAGTGCGTTTTCTGTTGCGCCCGAAACCCCTCTAGTAACGTTAGAACCCTGGGACCTCTTGAGGGGATTATGTATTTTAAACATGAGGGATCGACTGGATAGTGAGACGAGTTTGGCAGACTTGTCCCATTATGCGCCAAACTGTGCCACTTTTTCCAGAGCGCGCGAGATCCCCATCCCCGGAGTGAAGTCACCACCGAGACCCTTGAGGTCGGAGGAACACCCAACCGGTATCCCATCCGAACTGATGTAACAAAGCCAAGCCGTCTAGAGCAAGACACCCACATGGCCGCCCTTTCAGCCGAGCAGGGTATAGAAGCAGTGAAGCATGGAAGAGGTTTTTCTCTCGAACACCCGTGCAGGAGCATTGCCCTGTCGAATATTATACTACATGTATGTTTGAAGGCAGTAGGCGCAGGAAATATCAAGTTCTTTTTCGAATCGTGATTTTTCAGCGCTGGCGATAGTGTGTGGTGGGGACCACTTGTGTGAGCGCACAGGTCTCCCTCACTTGAAATGGCGGCCGGCAGTCACTTCCGGTAAGGTGGTACAGTGGTACAGTTCACCACCGGGGACGGGAGAGAGTACCCAAGTGGGTTTTGCACCGCTTATGCCAGCTGTACAAAGCGCTTCATGACAAACGCGCAGACCTTTCTCTGTTCTCCGGTCCGAACGCCCCATTGAGTCAAGCAATGGGAGTAGCCTGGAGAAGTCATGTCGCGGGCAGTCGAGGAAACTCCTCCAATGGAGTGTACAACGAGTTGTGCAAACACTGGCGCAAGTCGTCGGAAACACCGGTGCTCCAAAACCTCTTGCCGAACATTTCCGGATTGGCAAAAGTGTGAGTCGCTCGCTAAAGGCCGTAGAGGATTCAGCGAACCGCTTGGCCGGAGCCGAGTCGTCCCGACAACCAGGTTATTGAAAAAGAACTCAGCTGATCGCAGATGGTTTGAATTCACCAGGAGATCATCTTACAGCATTGAAGGACATGCACTCAGAGGCACTTCGCGAGGCGACAGTGTTAGACCGACTTTGCAACGAGGAGAGATTAAAGACTCTCAGCCGTTGGAAGTCCATGAGCGGCTAAGATGCAAAAATACAGAAACTCCAGTCAGAGCATGGACTGAGAGCACAGCCAAAAAGCTCGGACGAAAACCACGAACCGCTCTGATGGAGGTCCTAGGGTCTTCTTTCAGTGTGGAAGACTTGGCCGTTCCCTCTCTTTGTTTGACAAAGCTGTTAGGATTTAAACTGGGTGAAGAAAAATCCCCAGCCTCCGAGTTCTACTGCAGCTGTGCTCGGCATCATGGTTGATTGTTCAGCACTGGCTTCTGACAGAATCTTCACCGTGATGCCTAAACCCACGCGCCTTCGAAACTTTCTCTTCATGGTTAGGTTGACAAGATTCTCATGGACGACTACCTACCAGCCAGTTTAGCTGCTAGCGTCTTGGGTAAATTCGGTTTTCTCTGCGAGACGCTCTTTGGTACAGTAGGTCGTTCTTGCGCGCTAGACAATACGACGCCGCCCAAAAGCTGAGTCTCACGCCAGCGATGAAACTTTCGCTCGAACTGATGAAAATCGTCTTGGCAGTTTCACCCCCTCTTCATATCAAGCTAGATGACAAAGATCCACCGGTGCTGCTCTACACCGACGCCTCAGACGTGCCTGATCCGCGAATGGTCGTCGGAGGCGTTTTGATCCTTCCACCACCTGCAGCGCAGATGAAGTTTTTCAGCTGGGTTGTCCCGCAACCCGTTGTAGACGCATGGATCTCCAAGAGCTCATGCTTGGGTCAGCTTGAGTTACTTGCTGCCCCTGTTGCGTTGAGTACCTGGGAGGATGACCTGAGGCGACGCCAAGTCATCCACTTCGTGGATAACGATTCAGCCAACCTCGTCCGGGGATATTCCCCGAAGCAAGACTCCTGCCAGCTAGTGGGTGAGTATTGGACCTCGGCCGCCCGCTCCAGCATCGATCTTCACTTAGATCGTGTCGAGCCCAAGTCAAACACAGCCGACGGCCCAAGTAGACTTCAATTTTCCCTCATGCACCACATGGGAGCTTCTCCACCTGTAGTGAAGAAAGACATCTGTACATACGGCTAACAACTTTTAAACTTTTCTTTGTTGACGGGCCACACTGCGGCCGCTCCCGCAGTCTAGCTGGATAGTCCACAACCAGACTTGGGGAAGGCCTACCAGGAGAGCTATGGGATTCTCCCTTCCTCGGTCTCCCTGCGGTTGAGTGTCCACCAGAGAAAAACGGTGCAGCCACGTCGCTCACGGCTGAGATCCGTTTCGTCGTGGACGCAAGAGGAGCTTGGTCCCATCGGAGAAAAGCAAGCGGCAGCTTGATTCCTTTATGGAGCGTTCAAGGTAAGAATATCCACATCTTGCATACGAGTAGCGTGTGCCATTTTGGATCAAGACCTGGCCCTCCCATCCCCAGGGAAGAACCACAGGAGCACCCGGATCCTCAGTCTCCCTGCGCTTGAGTGTCCACCAGAGAAAAACGGTGCAGCCACGTCGCTCACGGCTGAGATCCGTTTCATCGTGGACGCAAGAGGAGCTTGGTCCCATCGGAGAAAAGCAAGCGGCAGCTTGATTCATTTATGGGGCGTTCAAGGTAAGAATATCCAATCAAGAGTGCTCAAACCCATTGCGTCACTTGATGCTTCCATTACAAAGCATCGAGGTGAACACAAAAGAATTAGATAGCCGACCTGTCTGTGTGCAGGAGCAACAACCCACAACACATGCTGAACTCTTGCAGGTGAAGACGGCGCCTGTTGAGCACAGGCAGGGAAAGGTTGTGTGGAAATCCTCCTGGTCAAAGCCCCAAAGCCACAGCAGGCCACCGGTGGAAGCATTTTGCCAGCTTGGTGTTTCAAGCGCCGCCAGGGCGCGAAAGCGCCGCCGCGCGACCAGAGTCGGCCATGTGCCTCATGTGCCTGCAAAAGAAGCCAAGCCTGCGCCAGGCGCTCTCTCTCTCTCTCTGATATTTTTACACAATTAAGTTCATTCACAGCTGCCCTGGTTCCTTGGAAGAGTTCTGCCAGTTGCACCTCCTCGGCGAACGGCTGCAAAATCTGCACCAGCACCGCCTGCCTCTCTTGTTGTGCGCTGATCAGGTTTGCTCATTACTTTGCAGAAAAACAGAAATAACATTTTGAGACAACATCAAAATTATGCAATTTGTGGCATTGTATATATATATATGTATATGTTGTGTGTGTGCATCGTATACTTCCCAGCTCTTAAATGCATCTCAAAATCACTCGGCTCTAGTCTTTGAGGTTCCTCCGAATGTGATGGACATCGAGTTGACCCCGTGGGCTTGGCACTCTTTGGCAACCTGCCTGTTGCTTTAGCAGACTAAAGATGTAGACTGCTGGTGCTAGCCAGGTTGAGTGGTAGTTTTTGTGTGAGCTTTTGTTTGCGTGTGGCTCAGCATGCAGGCAAGTAGGTATGCTGCGATGGGGAGAATCATTGGCGTAGCGTGCTCCTCCTTTCATACCAAAGTCATGCAAACATAACAATCCTGAACTCCAGCAGTAATGTTGTGCATGTGGTGGCCTTGGGCTCAAAAGGTTCCACTAGACTCTGACAATGTATTTTAAGTCAAATTGCAGAGAGACAATGGGCCGAAGGAAAACGATGTGGCAGTTGATTTGACTGCACTTCTTGCAGGCCGACGAGTGGACGGCTATCATTATAAGCTATTATATATATATATACACAGTATTTGTTGTTTGCTTGACTGAGCAGCTTTGGGGTCGATGTGTGGCAGGTACACGCTTGTGACAAGAGCATGAAGCGCAAAGAGCCTCCAGGTGTTTTGCAGGCCACGAGGTTTCCGCCAGCCAACGGGCATAGCCGCTTTCGTGCTGGCTTTGTTCCGCGGAAGATGTGCCACAGGGCTGCACTGAAGGTGTGTATACGGTTGGTCGCACACTGGAGGGCAGACATGTTTTCAAACCCAGATTCATGGCTGACAATCTCCACTTGGACACGGGGATTTCAGTTTGCTTAGGTTCATACATGGAGACCGCAGGTTACTGCCAAAAAGGCGATGCCTGCACTTTTGCACACAGCCCCGCAGAGCTAGCCAATGGAGGCGCTTGCGGCCGGTCTCAAGTGCAAATAAGATGAGCCGTCTTTGCACAGACACGGAGAAACATGTTTTCGAGAGGAATCAATGTAACAACTTTTTGTGAGTCTGGCATGGAGTATGTGATGCCACGGTTGGGTGTTTCCAGTTCTCCCAGAATGGGGTTTCTTTCTTCATTTTCCCTCCCGGGATGCTTATTTTCCGAATTGTTCTTTTTCGAGTCTCGGAATTGTTTTTGGGTTCATCGCCGGTTTGCATGTCCCACCACTGCTTTGGGTTCCCGTCTTGAGGTCACTGTCTCCGAGTTGTGGCCGTGTTGTTTGTTTTATTGTCTAATTGGTTGGTTCTTGCTTGCGCTTGGACCTTGAAAGATCAGACTTCGTGGCAGGTGCAGGGTTTTGGAAGAAGTCGTGCAGATTTTGTGGCGCCGGAGGGGGTTCCAGAGCGAGGGAGAAAGGCGCTGGCTCCCAGGCTTGTAAGGTACTATTGTTTCTACTGTATTCTTGGTTTCTTTATTTGTGATGGCTGACTGGCTGGCTGTTGGTTAGTTGGTTGCTTGCTTGCTTGGCTGGTTGGATGGATGGATGGTCGGTTGGTTGGTTGGTTGGTTGTTTGGTTGGTTGGTATTGGTTGGCTGGTTGGTATTGGTTGGCTCTTGCTTGCTTTCTTGTTTCCATGTTTGTCGGCCGTGTTTGTTTGGCCCTTTCTTCATTTGTCAGTTGGCTGGCTGCTTGTTTTCTTGATGAATGGTTTGTGTTGGGTGTTTTTTTGTCCTTCATTGCAGCCGAGGGGTGGGTGTTTGACAGCCGCGAAGTGTCCATTGAGCCTATTGAAGTCTATTGGTCGTGGCGGCGACGAAAAACATTTGTTCCTTATGCTTTCCCCACGGGAGCCGACAACACCTTTCCAGGTGTGGGAAACACCCACCTCCGCCACGTGGAAGCCGGCAACGCCCACCAAACTACCAAATCCAGTCTCAATCCAAAAATCACTCTTCTTTTCCTTTGGACAAAAGGGTGCTATCACCGTAAGAGACTCCCCCTTTCTTCTTGGTGACGAAATCTTGGCAAAAGATGCAAAAAGGGACTTCGAAATGCCCCGGATCAAGGCAAAGATTTCTGGCATTTCGCCTTGAAATATTCTGCTCGGAGTCTATCCATGGACCACCCTTTGCCAGCGTGGTCTCGCTGAAACCTACGGATTCTGTGGATGCGAATCCTCCTGTTGGACAGGTGGTGGTGCAGCCTTTGGCTTAGCCATGGCCTGGTGCAAAAGCTTCGAAGCCCTCACTGCACTCACAGCCGCGCGATCAGCAGCTTCGGCAGCGATTTGAGCGCTCTCCGCTGCCTTCTCAACTCCGCCCACAGCCGTTGACATCGCTGTGCTGATCTCGCTGACATCGCTGCTTGCACGTGGCCTCATAGACCGAGACAAAGAGCGACAGGAAAAATCTAACTGCCGCCTCATAGGCCGGCAAGAAGAGCGACCGACTGTTGCCTGGTTCTTTGGCAAGAAGGGCTCCGTTTGGATGAAGTCCTCTCAGTGCTGCGTGCCCGAGACCTCCTTCTTCGGACTCCATGGCCGTGACCTCGTGGTTCCACAACAGCTTCACCGGCTTCCGCCGCGGGCCATGAACTGGCACTCTGTGTGGCCAGTGAGCTCGAACCCCCCCGCCTTGACTTCCATGACGTAGAGCCCGCCCCTTCGTCATCTTCACTAAACTCCTGCTGGTCATGTGGCTCGCCGATCACTGCACGCAATCGTCGCAAACGACAGCGCATTGATGTACATGCAAGCTTGCCCACCCAGACCCAGATTGCCCCAATGATGACCAGCGCTGTAGGCCACGCGTCCAAATTAAAGGAGCCCAAAAGTCGACTCCGGTTCAGGACCCTGCCAGCTGTACCAACATGCTGCCAGCCACCAAAGCACGAAGTGCCACACTGTGATCCACGGATTCCACCAAACAGGAAAGGTGTACACAGCAACCATCATGTAGCCACAATCATGACGGCTTTGATCTTGGCCAGCCACCATTTACTCAATGTGTAACTTTCCGGGTGGCTCATGCGGTGATGAGGTTTGCTTCGAGCTGAAGCCTTGACACAATGTTTGCAATCGCGACGAGCCGGCATGTGGTCATGGAGGTAGTGAGTGCGCCATCCTTCAAGAGCCACCTGGCCCAGTGGACGAAGTGCCGCCTCCAATGAAGGTGTGGAGCCCCGATGAAGATGATCTTGCAAAGCAAGCGCAGGGGCCACTTTCAAAGATGGCGCCCAGGATGCCCATGTTTTGGAGTTGTCGCAACGCTCCTTCATGGACATGCTGCTCCCGATCTTGAGAATCACCAGGACCGCCTCCACTGGGCCACGAACACCATCCAACGCATGAATATCACGAAGCGCCGCAGCCAGCGTTGTTGGCTTCTTCTTCACGCCCATAAGGACCCTCATCAAAATGAAGCAGCTTGATCTGGTAGGCAGCAGCGAAAGCCTTCCACTCCTTTGTCTGTCAGATCGACATAAATTGCCTTTCTGGCACCTCGTCCTGGGGACGGTAGCGGGCAGGATCTTCCGGCTGTTCAACAGCCAAAGCAGTTTGAGGTTCCTGCAGGGCCAGCATCCGAAACAAGAGAACAGTATCCCCACTCACTAACGCCTGCTCCGACGAAGACAATGCCGGCAGGCCATATGGATGCTCTTCTGTCCTCAAGATGCCACGTCCACCATCATCTTGGTACCGCAAGGCCGAAACCGTGCGACATGGAGGGCCGCCATTGATGGCCTTCACACGGCCAGAGGTAGCCAAAGACAGCAGGTACCGGTATATGTTGTCGTCGTGCAAGTCCGCGGCAACTTGCAAATCGATGCACAAAACCTCAACATTGCCATGTCGGAGCGTCTTTTCCCAGTACTTGGAGTCCGGGCCAGAGAAGAGATGCAACAAAATCTGCTTCTCACTCCAAGCAGCGGCGCTTTCGCCGGTTCCAAGGGAGGAGATTCCCATCCAGGCTCTGAAGATCAGACCTCAGTCCGGGATGACCCGCATCAGAATGGGCAGGGGCGTCGAACAAGGTCTTCAACTTGTAAGTCAGGGCCATCTCCGTGGATTGTTGAGTCGACTGCATCATCTCCACGGACGGGTCCATCATCATTGACTTCAATAGCTGGGCCTTCGAAGGAGCCGGATCTGCTGCCGCTCCAGACGATCGATCATGGCCCGCCAGCCATGATGAACCACCACCGTGAGCTCACGCCCATCTTCATCCGACAATGTGCGCTGGGCGTTCTTCCACTCAAACTTGTACCCCAACTCAGCAATGCCACCCAGCGGGACGATCCACGATTGACCCCATTCTTGGAGCCGAGAGAAGCGCTTTGGACAACCTGAGGTTGTTGGTGACTCCATCTGCCAAGGTGACTTGGGTTGGTGAGGCACTATCCCATTCTGCCATACTGGAAGACGGTTTAAGTGCATGGGTTGCGCCTGAGTCCAAAAGCACTGTTGCACCACCGCTATCATAGTCCAATTGGATCACATGAAGCTGAGGAGCACGAAGGGACTTGAGCAGCTTGGTTGCATCCTGGAGCAAAGCTTCACTGGTTGTTGCTCCAGTCTCACCTTTTGAATGCACCTCCCCCGGTTGCCCGTCACCTTGTGCGGCAGAACCACTGCCAGAACATGGCCCTTCCATCTCCTGAAGCTTGACCGGAGTTGAGGTAGATTGCAGACCACTGGAAGTTTGCTTCCCCCCTGTGTTGTAGGACGTGGAGGCCGTAGCATTGAACGGCTTTTTTCGCGCTGAGCCGGCGCTCGGCTCACCAACGCCCTCCATATCTTTGGAAGGTGAAGCTTTGTTCTGGGCCTTCAACTTGCAATCAGACTTGCGATGATCCTTGGCCCCACAAATCCAGCGGCGTGCGGCCATTTGCAATTTTCGCCAGCTTTGCAGCCGGTGTCAGAACGAAAGTACCGGCAGGGAAGATTCACGGTAGAGGTGCCCTTGCCCTTGTCTTTGTCACGGCTGTGGGCTTTTGTTGAAGCCTCGAGCTGCTTCACCCGCACCGGTGTAGATTTGTGATGATCAAGACCCATCAAAGACGGGAAATCATTAAAAAGATATAAAACAAAATAAAAAACAAAATAAATACAAAAACAGAAAAACCCGGTCAAAAACTGTCCTTCCCTTGATTTCGAGGTGTGTTGTTTTTGTTTCTTGTTTGTTTCTTTGTTGTTTATTTTTTGTTTATTTCTTTTTTCTTTTTTGTTTCGTTTTTGTTTATTTTTTGTTTTTTTCCTAGGGTTTTTACAGAAAACCTGATTTCAAGGCCAGCTTTTGCTAGAACAGAAAAAGCAGAACAAATAGACGTGTTCTGGGTGCTTGTGTTAATTTTGTTTTATGTTTGTTTGTTTTTGTTTTTTGTTTGTTGTCTGTTGTGTTTACACATTTTGTGATTGTTTTTTTGTGCTGTTTGTTCCCGAAAGCATTGCGAAGGGTTCTTCCGGAAAATCCTTTGAACACTGACACTTCGACACTTACACTCAGACACACCTAGACATTGACACTTTCACCACACTGGCAGGATAAATAACATGAACGCTATACGTAGCCCTGTGTAAGTGGAAGAGCGAAAGCTGTCAAAGTATGCAAGTGTAAGTATGCAAGTGTAAGTATGCAAGTGAACTAGCACGGGAGATGTCCTAATGAACTAGCGCGGGAGATGTCCTAATGAAAAAACTTTTCCCGACTTTATTGAAAAAACTTTTCCCCACTTTATAAATTCTCTCTTAAAGGCGGAGGGTGGGACGAACAGCGTCAACCGAAAGTGCAACCCTCTGCGGAGATCGTGCGTGTCGAGTGCGCGAAATGCAGGCGAGAGTGCGATTTGCCGGCTGCGCGCGCAACCCTCTGCGGAGATCGTGCGTGTCGAGTGCGCGAAATGCAGGCGAGAGTGCGATTTGCCGGCTGTGCGCGCAACCCTCTGCGGAGATCGTGCGTGTCGATA